AACACACTTTAACTATATTTTTTTTTTAAGTTTAGTTTGTAAAACGAAATTGTTATAGATATAGTGTAGTTCATTTTAAATAACAAAAATTGAACGCATCACCACAACACAGATTTTGGTTAGTTTACATTTTGCCTTGAGATAATGTAATAAAGTGCATTTTTTTTTCCTAAAGACATGTAAGGGAGACACAAGAAGTCATTGAGAGGTGTAGAATGTGAAGCAAGTTGGAAATGTGTTGGATTTGTGCTATACAATTACAAATAGCTTCTTCTGTCTCTTTGTGCCCATATATATGTGTGTTTGACCTTTTGATTGAATGAAATTATGAAAAGGGTAAATGTATACAAACACACACATATATCCTCTTTTACCTCTTATTATCTAGCCCACATGCCACACATACACAATTCCTTTGACAACAATTTGGAAGATTTGGAAAAGTAGTGCAACAAATCATGATTTGGAACTACAATTTGAAATTGAAAGTGCATTTTTTTATAATGTAATTGAATTCAATTTATAGTTAATAATAGTGATTCAATAGTTCAGCTTGAAAAAGTTGATTTTAAATTAAAAAAATGTTTTTTATAATGTAGTTCAATTTAAATTATAGTTAATAATAATTTAGTTTATTAGTTCATATTATAGTTTAATTCAAACTTATAGAATTATAATTCACTATAGAAAATAGTTTAGTTAGTTTAGTAAAATAATTTCTAGTTTATTTCAATTTAGATGAACTAATGTTTTTTGGTATAGTTTAATTCACAAGTAGTTTAATTCTGGTAACTATTTTGAGCACCCCTATCTCTGGGTTAGAAACAAAAACCCCATGTTACCACTACCACCAACTTAAGAACTAGCACCACGGAAGTGATTACCATGAAAGTTTGTTGGTGCAAAATAAGAATTACTACAACTCTATGACCCAAACTTTTTCTCTCATAAAACCTACACTCGTATAGTGTCCGACACAAGTTTGGTTATCATCATCATAAATCTCACACTTGTTAATCAATGTAGGAAATTGATAAATCTCCTACTAGTTGATACCTTGTTTGATTTTTGAATACAAACATTAATTAACAATATTTATGCATTTTGAATTCATGCCATCTTCACCATGGTGATGAGGAAAGTAATGCACTAGCTCCCCAAATCTTGTAGCACACTTTGCCATAATGTTATTCTCCTATTTAACCTCCAAAAACATCTCCTTTTGATTTATGAAAGTTCTTTTAAATTTGTTTTAGTTCATCAATGTCCCAACTGCAATCATTCTTTGCAAAGCAATCTCCCATCAATACCCAACATCACCAAACAACTCACCTTCTACGCATTAGGGAACCCCAATGCTTTAAAGATCTTTGCAACTTCCCTTGGCCATTCCATAACTCCAAAAGAATCAAATCCCCTTAAAGGTTGGTGGATTGTTCCATTGGAAATAGTCTAACTAACTCAACTCAACTTTAGCACATTGATTCCTCATTACTTGTGCTAATCATACAATTGTTTGTAACAACCATTACCACTTCTAATTCACAGAAAAGTAAACACACAAAAAACAATAAATCAAAACTAAACAACAAACAAACAAACAAAGAAACACAACTTATATAGTTTACAAACATAAACATGGTAAAGACGCATAAAACATAGTTTGGTTTAAATCAACTTGGTTGTGATAGTACTAAATTTGATACCTTTTACCCATTTAGCTCGTATATATAATAAACAATTTTTGAAATAAAATTTTTAAATAAAAGAAAAATATATTTAAGTAAAACACCTCATGTATATGATTCAAATTTTAATCAAGTCAACAAAAAAAATCTTAAATTTGTCATTAAAATAAAATATTGAATGATAAACATAACCTAAAACCAAAGGAAAATAGAGTCATTAGGGTGTACAAATGCCAATACAATTCATAAAATCTAAACATAGGGCCCTAAGCATAATAAAATAAGTACAAAAATAGATGATTCATCACATGAATAGAAAATATAAACTCCACTAAGATCCAATGTCACATTCCTATCAGAGCACAATCTAAGAACAACCAAAAGGCTTAAGCCTTATCATCAATTCTAACCTCTTGATGATTTTTTCTTGCAAGTGGTGTTCAACCAAACAATATAAGAAGACAATAGAAAAAAAAAAAAAGTGAGATACATCTCACTTATGCTCCCAAGGTGAGATAAAGTCAGGCAACCACAAATAGAACATAAACATAAAATATCATTCACAATAAGCATGTACAATAATATTTTCAATTAGCAACACATCAACAGTCATGATGAGCCAATCATTAAAAGTAATATAATGAGGTATGCACTAACTCAATCTAAATCTATATGCATGTGGCACCATTCAAAAATTACAACTATCTCCTAAAGCCTTATAAAGTAGTCAAGGAGTACATGCCAATAATAGACACTCAACTAAGGATGCTTGATACTCAAAACTCTCACAAAGGGGAAGATACATCAAGGTAGGTAAAGATTGGGGCTCCCATACTCAATCGTCCTAAAGGTCCAGATCCCCAAAGCCACTAGGTGGACCTTCCCTATAGTAGCATATTCCACACCAATACTTTGTCACAAAAACCAATTTATATACATGATGCATGTCATACAACAAAGATCTAATGCAAGATACATATAGTTATATCAATTGTAACATGTTCATTATACTCATTGTATTGCTTGCTAAACACTCATACCTACACTTCTCGTATGACTAAATTATGAAGTTAGACTTCACAAACACATTAATTTCACAAGGTTCCCAATATATCACAAAATCAACAACAAAACCAAATATCCAATTCTACGAAATTACACAACCCTCATGGTTACTCAACTCCCGTCTGATGTCATCCTTATACAAAGCAACCTTTGCTCTCTAAAGATCCCTTGACCAATGTGGCAAGACCCACACCAAGTGTAATAGCCACAAATGCCTAGTGGCAAAGTCACAATGAGCAACACATGCTTTTTAAAGCTCTCATGCCCGATATGGCCTTGCTGGCGCCCAACACGGTTGAGGCAAAGAGCATCATCGCTCTTAGGAACTCCAGAGCCTAGCACCATTGTTCCCACACTTGACACAATAGCAATTTTGTGCCATTTGTAGAAATTGTGAAAAATAGTTGGGATTTTCTCACTTTCTTTCCTTTTTAATTGATCAGTTTATGAATAAAAGTCTACTACACATGTTTTGTACCGCCAATTGCTCAATTACTAGACCAATTACTCCATCTTTAATCTTACTCTATAAAATTAGGACTTCTAATAATAGCCTAAGAATTTTTGAGAAGTTGAATTATACATCTTTGTAATTCATTTAAGTAAGCAAAGAACACAATTAAAAGAAAGCATCAAAAATTGGATCTAGATAATCATTATCTCCAAGAAAGGAAGAATGTAGAGGTCTTTCAAGGTCCCCTTCAGAACCCAGAGAAGCAAACAAATGGGATTAGGGGCCAACCGATGTGCATATTAATTTACCCCATATCCATTAGCGAGACTACTCGCTCCTTTCTTATTTCGATAAAAGTTCGATGTTGGCAAGGGATCTCCGAGGTGATTTCCTCCTTTATCCACGAGGTTCTCTCTTTAGTTTTTGAGTTCATAACACATGTTGGGAGAAGCATAAAATGTAAAATGAAAAAGAAAAAAAGTAGATAACAGTTAAGAACACCAAACTAATGGTTATACTTATTTTTGTTAAGAAAATACATTAATTTTCATCAATTTTAAAGTATTAAACATATAAAAATATTGTTCTAAAAAATTTAAGGATAAAACACCATTTGAATCCTTAAAAGTGCATGTCATTGGAACTTTCATGAAAGTAAGAAATTCTAAATAAGTCTTTCAAAGTTCTAGATTCATTTAAGTTTCTCAAAGTAATCACATATTCTTTTAGTCCCTAAATATATGTTAATATTATCATTTGAGTCACACACTTTTTTAAATTTTGGATTAAAGTGAGTAATGTTTTAAACTTTCAGAAACTTTTTATTTTATTTTCATATTTTTATACTTTTAGGATCAAAATGTGAATATACATTTTAAGGATTTGAATAGTGTTTTAATTATTAAAAAAATGTATCTGAAGAAAAAATGTTAAACAGTTTTTTCTTCTTAATAATGATATTTATTTTAATCAAATTCAGATTTATTTTGAATTAATTTCATACATCAAAACTGAATGGCTTAAAAAGTCATCTGTACTTATTTAACTACGAAAATCTGAATTAAAAATGAGTATTTATCTCAGTCCATTCTGATCCAAATGTTTAGGAAACTTGCATCTATATTTGTTTTCGTTTCCTAATTAAAAATTTTCACTTCAACAACAAAACAAACACCGATAACTACAAGAGAGAGTGAGACATTTTAATCAGATCACTTATTATTTTTTAATTAGTGAATTTGAAATTTGAAACACATGTTTTGAATATGACTCAGACCTACCGAAAGCTAGCATTAATTAAGAACACATTGAACCTGCTCGAGCTCTAGAGTCATTTAAAAGGACCACTGATGTAAAAATTAGCTTGGATAAATATAAAGAATGGTTGACAACAAAATATTAATTAATGAGTGAGGTTCACTTTGACTTTATATAGCTTAACTTAACCCTTAACCGTGATCACAGGTAGTGACTGAAACATTAAATATTAATAATTAAATCAAGAGTTACTGGTCGTCTTAATTGTGTCATAGGTATAAAAAATCAGTACGGAAAATAAAATAAAAAAAACTCAAAACTCAGATAACACATCATCCATGAGAAAGAAAGAAAAAAAAATCACAATAAGCAAAAAAGGAAATACTTTTTTTAAAATATACAATAATAATTGCGTTTCAAAATATATAATTTGACGCCTAAAATTTCGTAGTACCGCAGACAACTTAAACAATACAGTAGCAATCAAACAAACATGAAAAATTGATTAATTATCTAAATTGAAATAAAATCAAAACTTAAAGCTTAAGTGATAAATCAATCTCATCAGAAGAATCGGAATTAGAGGTTCCTTCTTGTTTGGAATGATCATGATCAACACCAATGGTACTCAATGGTGTTGGGTTTGATTTTGAAGGAACATTATTTGTAGAAGATTCCCCGAGAAAGGGAATGTGTCCAATAGTGCCATGACCATCTTGTGTCCTCACAGTTGAAATGTTTCCATTAGTACCATGATCATCTTGTGTCTTCAAAGTTGTATCACTCCCCAAAATCCTTACCCCACTATTTGCATGGAAACCCTCCATCTTCAGTCTATCAAGAGAAGGGTTTAGCATCTCTTGTCTTGACCACCCTTGACCAAACCTAAAGCCAAGTGAGGATGAAGGATATGATGGCTTGTGAATCATAGATTCCATTCGAACTCCTAGTGCCCTATTATAGGATCCATAATAAGAGTGTGTGGGATAAGGGTAATAAAGATAATGAGGGTGCCCAAAGGCACCAACATCAATCCCTTGGCGACGCTTTGCAAGAGCCCTTTCTTGCTTGTGAGCATTTTGGTGTCCTCCCAAAGCTTGTGAGGAAGAAAATTCTTTCTTACAAAAGTTGCAAGAAAAAGTCTTGGCCTCCGATGATTTTTCTTTTTCCTCATTGTTGTTCTCGTCTCTCGGTTCATAGTTATTAGCCCTACAAGAATTAGATGAACCCCCCATGTTCACTATAGGGTTGAAAAAATCTAATTCCACGTTGGACCCACAAATGGATTCATCCTTTGAGAGCTTGACAAAATCCAACACCTTGTGGGAATTGGAATTGGATGTTTGATCTTGTACAGATTTGACACCCTTCCCCCTCAATGTCACCTCATCATCATTCTTCTCTTCTTCAACACAAAGTTTTTGGGAAATACCTTCGGAAATGCTAGAGGCTTCAGATGGACAAGCTTGAAATTTACTATGTGATGACGATGCCATGGAACAGAGGAGAATTCAACCTTTTGGATCTGTGGGAGTGAGATTGATTAGAGAGGGAGCATGACAATGGTTATTTATTTTAAGATTTGATTTAATGCAAATATCTTTAATGAATAAGGAAAGCAATCTCATGTATTTTGCAGTTATTATTTAGCATTATTCTAGCTAAAGTTTGAAGAGGTGTGGGCAAGTTTGCACCTATTTGTGCATGATATTTGTGCATAAACAAAGATTCCTAGACGATTTTAACTATACAATATGTGGAGTGATGTGCCTAATTACTCAAATAGTTTCTATGTAGTTCATGTTTGATGTCAAACCGACTAGAGAAATTGATAACTCAGAAATTACTTGAGCATTTGGCCGGTGTAATTAAAAATCAAATGAAACAATTTTGGGATATTATTTTGAGTTCATTAATGTTCTATATTTTCAAAAACAATTTTAACGTTGTCTAATGGGGTGAATAATTACTCAAATAGTTCAAATCTTTCCATAATCAACCTGTGGCGATTTACTTAAATAACACAATTATAGCTTCTATGTAGTTCAAATTAGATGTTAAAGCAAAATCGGTAACTTTTGAATTTATTGGTGGAAGTAAAATTACTTTGACGTTATTGAAGATCTTTTGGAAAAATCAATGGATGTAATTTGTTAAGATGATTTTGGCTTCATTAATGCTCTTTAGCCCATTAATTGAAAATTTCAAATATCTTCTCACCAGTAGTTTTTGTGAATAAAAGAAGGTTTAATGATTACCTCGATGCCGTATTAAACTTGAATAACCTATTTTTACCATAATTTTCTCTTGAAAATGCTTACTTTCAATTTGTTTTTGTTTAAATCATGAATGCGTAAGCACTGTTCTAAGTGTTAGGTTTTTCAATTTCCGTGGCCATAATTTGCATATTTTACTTCTGAGGACTCACTCACATTCCGTTTTTACTAATTTAATAACATTTTTGCCATATTTGTAGAACTTCATTTTCCATGAAGGACTTTTTCACGAAGGACATAAGATACACAAAATTTAGATTTTAGAATAATTAATGATGTAGATCGCACTAGTGAGCAGTGACGGATCCATGGGACAATATTTATTTTTATATTTATAATATTAAAAAATTTACAAGTAATTTTTAAAAATATAAATATATATTATAATTATTTTTTACAAGCTTTTATATATATAATTATGATTAAAAATAAAAATAAATTAGATCAAACTATGTTATATTATAATTTAATAAATTTAAACTTATTTTTTTTAAAATACATGTTGTAAATATGACTTATTTATCTATCATAGATATTTTTAAAAGTTTGCTTAGAACTAGAATCTTAAAAATACTTTATACTAATTTAATACTAATAAAAATATAAAATAAATATGTTAAATTGTATAAAAATCAAGTTTAACTTATTTATGATATAAATATATTTTTAATATCTAATATAATTTTTAGATGATAATTTATTTCAAAATATATTTTATAATAAAAATTTTAAATAAAACATAAATTTTTTAATCTTTCCTATTTTGATTTTTTTAATCAACGTATACAATCTTACAATATTTACTATTTTGATTTTTTTTAATTAACATATATATAAATAAAAAGCACAAAAAATAAATATATATGTTGCAAATTTTATTTTATCAAAAATTAAATTTTTAAAAAAAATTAATTCGTTATTAAGAAATATTCTTTAATACATATGAGAAGTAATCTCCTTCAAAAGTTTGATAAATATCAAATAAATGAATAATTTTTTAAAATTTATATTTTATATATATAATAATTTAAATATTTATTTATTTTATTAGAATATAACTTTTATTTTTAAAAATATATTTTTCTAGATAAAAAAAATATGTGTGTAACCCTCCTCCACATAGATCCGTGCATGGTGAATACACATTTAAATATCAATAAATCGTTGGTTGAAGTCATTAAGTAAGTTTATGGATCTTGAATAAAAAGAACTTAATTTATGTGCAGTTTTGATTAAAAAAATTTTGTTAAATGAATATAATTTATATAATATCATATTGATATATATTAAATATTAAACATATATAATAATATTATCTAATTTATTATCAAGAAGTATAACAACCATCTAATAAGAGAAAAATGATAAATTATCCTAAAGGACTATCCGAAAATCGTTCCAAATGTATAAAATATTAATTTGAATTATAAAATATTAAATTAAATAATTATTTTATAATAAATTTATTATAAAATATTAATATTTTAATATTTCGGATCATGTTTCGGACATTGGACATTGAATCGGAGGATGTTTCATTCCTCTTAATAAGATTACAGTTAATCTTACTCTTATTCTATCATATTATATGCTAGTCACGAAATGAGTCCTCATGAAAATGGCCGGAAACGAACATTCAAATGGACTTGAGGAGAATACACAAAGGAAAAAAAGGAAAAGTTGGATGGGACAAAATAAAATAGAGAAAGTGACAGCGATAGAAGCTATGCATATGGCTACAACACCCTTTGAGGGATAATAGAAGCTATGCATATGGCTACAAGACCCTAAATTTCTTTTGGGGGATAAGAATTATGTTCAGTACTTGGTAAAACTGTAAAAGTGGGAACTCACTCTCAACAAAGGCTAATAACTTACACTATTTTTTACTAAAGAGAAAGAGATGTGAAAGAAAACAAGAGAAAAATACAGAAAAGAATACATTTTCTTTTATTGTCTTTGTTGAAGAGAAAATGAAGAAAAAAGTTAACTTAAAAGAAACAAAACTTTAAAATTCTCTATCTTCCTTGTATTCTCTCTATTTAAACAAACAAAGGATGAATATTCAAAACAGAATACACAGACCAACAAAAAGAATACCAAAGCAAAGCCACCTAGCTCAGAAAAACTTAAAATGAAATCGACTCTATACTTCTAGTTATTTACAACCAAATCAACAGAAGAAGGTTCCAAAGAGCTACATATTGCAACAAGTCTATAAATCGCAAATGTTTGGGATGGAAATTAGGGAGTTTTTCTCCATAATATTTGTTTTTTATATAGACTCTCTATGTTGTGTACCAGTAATATTGCCATATCTAGCAAATATTTTCGTTACTTTTTAATGAGGCTTCGTCCTCAACTTTGACCTTGCAATGTGTTGGCATGTTTTTATGTTTATTATACCCTTCCTGGTCCATCTAGATTAAAGTTAAAGCCTCATCAAAAAATAATAATAATCATAACAATAAAAAATTAACTAATAATTAGAACCGAAAACTATGTTATTTGAAGGGAATGCACAAGGAAAAGGCAAAACTCTGCCTCCAAGTTTTTGACACAGCTGCATTCCCAAGGATTCAACTTAAACTAGAACAATCCCGTCTGTTAATCTACACTCTCAGTGCTAATGTCAAAAAGTAATTGTATAATATAATTGAAATACTTTAACCAAAAGAAATTATGATTGAAATGAATCCAATATAATAAAATGATCTCAAGTTTTTATGTACATACAACTCTATTTCCCTCCTTATGAAAGAATTTTGATTCATTTTGCCTTCCATTTTCTTCTCTTAAGTATTTGATATTTATTGAGAAGTTTATGCGAACAAAACTTATTTTCGAAGCATGACCACAAGTACCTTAAGATACATATGGGGAATATAGTTTTCGAGGCAAAAGGAAGGAAGACAATTTTTTTTTTTTTTGAATTGAAGTTATATAATGTTCATAGAAAAACAAACGATTAAAATATTAAGTTTATGATAATTTATCATTATATTTGGTTCATTTTGAAAATTACCAAATTAGAGAATATTTATAGGAAATGGAAATTTTACCCTTCCTTTCCAAAACTTCACTCACAAAATTGCCCAAAGGAAAATATTCTCCATCAATTAGATAACATCTTTCTTGCATTGTTTTTTTTTTATGAAGTTAACATCCATTGGGATATTTGCATTACGATTGAGGAACAGAAAAGTAGAAAACTATTTTATCAGCAACAAATATCTTGAATAACCCAACATAATGAAATCAACTAATAACCAAGCTTTACCAAGACCTGTACTAGAAAGGTGGTTGTCAACTACCAACATCCATTTAAAGCCTAAGTGCATGAAGCTAACATTACTATTAAAGAAGAGAAAAGCTACATCTGCTACATGAGAACAGATACATACCAGAACAGATAAAGAAGAGAGGGGTCATCAGATACTTAGCATGGGAACATACAGTGGTTACTAGAGGATAGTCATCATAGCACTAGTACGTACTAATTCTTCTGTTACCACTAGCTTCCTGCAGAGCTAATCTCCCAATGTGTATGTTATTTACCCTTCCTCGTCATAATCTTCCTCATCCTCTTCTAGTCGATTACCAAGGTTTGCAAGCTGCATAGTGTCAATGGCCATCTTGTCCGCATCAGATAGAGACCAGCCTGGAATTTCTTCATGTTTAATCTCCATGGCAGTGGGCTCAGACAATGAAGCCTGGACAGCTGTGCTAGCATTTTTGTCTTCGTTTTCATTTAAGTTGGCATTCAAATCAATGTTACGGAAAGATTGAGTACTTTCCTCAGAAACTGCAAAATTCTCCTTCGGTAACTCCTTGGATTGCGGACCATTATCTAATGGCACACTTGTATTAGGAATATCATTGCTACTGTGCTGAATAGACGTGCAGGGCTCAGATTCAACCTGCTGATGACAGATATCTCTTTCGACGGTTCGAGTCCCACGTCCTCGGCCTCTTCCTCTACCTCGACCTCTTCCCCTACCAGTAGTGCCAGTGTGGCCCAACTCACGCTGCAATAAAACATAAAACGTTATTCACCAAGACAGCCCAAGACCAAGCCATTTTACACAGAAGACACAATTTCCCTTCCTCTCAAGAATAAATTTTACTCTAGAAACAAAAAAAAACATCACAAACCTGTAATTTAGTCATTAAAAAATTTGGAGGGCAGTACAACTTCAACATGATTAACTAGATTTAATTCAATGGTAGAATTAAAAGAAATCATCTTTTGCAAGGAATTAGGAGAGTTTAACGATTGTCACACCATTGTCAGTGTGTGAGACACTATACCATTATTTAAGAAATAAAATTATGTATTATCCAGGTTTTTCATGAAAGTGTAATTACCATCTTACTCCTCTTAGCCTCTTCATCACTGTCATTGCCCTCCTCACCAGCAGCTTTCCTGGTAGAACGTAGGATTCTTAACTGCATTAATTGCTTATATGAATAGTTAAATCAGACACAGTAAAGAAAAAGATAAAGACTGTTGAACTTCAAACCTTCTCTTTGAAAGTGTGCGATCATCAGCTCCAGCCTCAGAATGGCCATGCCCATGCCCATGCCCATAGTCTGGAACCCTGCTGACAATGTCTCTCAGAAAGTCAAAGACGTTATAACTTTGTACACAATGCTTCCTGCAATTTACATTTACCACTGGTTAGTGTTGACTTGCAGTATATTCAAGATATAAATGAGATGGAGAAAAAGGAGGTAAGTGGTATCAGGTAATAAATTAAACATGTCCTGAATATTATGTAGTTTAATTTAACAATGTTGAAAAGATGTCGGAGAAAGTGTACTTTTAACTCCTAGGGTTGGTTACAGGTCCCCATTTCAGTGCTATCAACTACTCAGGGTTTTCAGTCACAAGGTGTCGCACAAGCAAGTAATAGTAGTCATCCAGTCAGATATAGCTAATGATACAAAAGAAAATACAAACCATATGTAAATTTTACATTTGAAATCTTAATGATGAATTCACCTATTTTACAAGGCAAGGACACCACTTTTGTAGTGGACAGATTCACAAACTCGGCACATTTTTCCCTTTACCCCATCCATTTTCAGCTAAAGAGCTGGCAGAGTTATTTGCCAGAGGTGGTTTGTACTTTGTAGCATGGATTTGGATCCTCAATAGTCAATACCAACTTTTCATGAGTCATTTTTGGAAATAATAGTTTCGTAGGGCACGCACTCAACTTCATATAAGTATCATTTATTTACCATCCCCAAAAGGATGGGCAAAATGGAAGTAGCTAACCGTTGTCCAGAGGCTTAATTAAGGTGCTTGAATGGAACAAAGCCAAAACAGTGGCGCCTTCACTTAGCTTCGGCTGAACTGAATTTTGGTTCAACCCAAATTACAATGCTTCAACAAAAATGTCCCCTTTTTGTGCTATCTGTGGTTAAAAGAACCTCCCCTTGTTGCTAAAGAGAACATTATTCCATCTAAAATTGATGACGTTAATTCATTGACCCAACTAAGGAATGACTTGCTGCATGGGCTATGAGCCAATTTACTTAAGGCCCAAGAACAAATGAGAAAATATGTAATCAGCATAGGAAGGAAGTGAAGTTTTAGGAGGGAGGTCGAGTCTTCTTAAAATTCCAGCCTTATAACATCAGCAGCAGCCAAGAAACCTAATGAAAAGTTGAAACGTGGTGTTACAAAAGGTGGGGACAGTTGCTTATAGGCTTTAAAGGTTTGGCCCATAAAGGGGTGTGTAGGGGTTGTCCAGTAACGGGATGTGTAGGGCAAAATTGTGGTGAGTTTGGCCTGAATATATGTAGGCTATAAAAGGTTTGGCCCATAAAAGGAAGGTTGAGGTGAAAACTAGGAATCGCAGCGCTATTCTCTGCTATTTGGAAGCTATTCGGTGACAATTTTAGCCACTATTCAAGTAATGCAAAAACACTACACTGAATTTTCTGTACCAGCCACTCTGTTATAGTGGCACTATTTGCTGCTATTGATAACTATTAAGGGGAAAAACAAGACAAAGACTTCAGGATGGTGGCACATTTCCTTCAAGTCAAAGATTACAATGAAGTTATCAATTTCAATAAATTCTCCCATGAAATCTGTGAAGAGACAACTTAAAACTTAAAAGCTTAATATGTAGGATGATTTACTCATTACATAACATGGAACTAGACCCTCTTTAACCAAGTGATGAGGAGTAGGAATTTTGCTACCTCTCTGTTTAATAATTAAAATTTAAACCGAATTTCAGCAAAGGGTAACATGGGCCAGTGAAAGGACACATTTCAAGCCCAAAGGCTCATTGAAGTAAAAGCAAGCCAAGAACAAATTAAAATATTTCTTGACTTACAAATGCAATGCATTCATGGTCTTTGCTCCTCTCTGAAGTGTTATTTCATAAGTACGGTCACAAAGATCTTGCAAAAATAACTCCAGAGCTTTAGCTGTAAAAAATTCAAGAGTGATATCAATAATATATGAGGGGAAAGACCAAGCTGCGGCCAAGTTCTGACTAGGAAGTATGTAAAATCAACTTACATACTAAAACTGGAACCGCCAATGCTATCTTTCCAACATCCTCATCTGCTTGCATTATCTTCTTTATCCGAGCCTGAAAATTATTGTTTCCATCAGATAAAGCATTCTTTTAAAACATCTCTTTCCTTAAATAAGGAACAGAATAGAGGAAGAATTGAAATCTAAATTATGTTTTCAGTTTTAACACTCCCATTGGTTAGAACAGTATGGTTCAACTGAAACCTTAGTTCCCTTAGTTCCAATTTCATAGAGTCTATATGTAATTCCCCACCCCATCCCCTTGTATGTTTGAAATATGGTGATTGATTTCTCTGTCAACTAACTAATAAAATAAAGGGTACAAGAAACAAAGTAAACAAAATAACCTCATATTGTTTATTAGATATTAGGAAACTGTAATGGGTAAAACTGACAAGTAAGGCAAACAAAAAAAAATCACACAAGTCACGGTATAATTACGCAAAATGCTATTGTACGTTCTCCCTAATTAATAATGACAAGTATATTTTCCAAAAGAAGAATTGCATTATGATACGTCATGCTGTCAAAGGAAGTTGTCAAATCAGCCTACAAATTAAAACCTTCAGAAATTGGCTCAACCTAATCTACAGGACAGTAAAGTTGCGTAAGAAAAGTGAATCAGGACCCAAAATACTATGCATTTGAAAAAGTATGCATTTGCCACCTATTCAGTTTTGATATTGTTGGAGATCCCCCAAAATCTAAGAGATACATTATACATAAAGCAACAAACCTATAAACTTAGAAAAATTTTCTTGAGCACTTCAAGTCATTGGAATAATAGAGTATGTCCAAGGAGTCAAGGACTATCGTTAACCTATAAACTTGCAGTCAAACATCATGTTCCTAGACATATTTACAAACATATATGATAAATAGATCTTTGCTGCAGCAAAATCAACAAAGGAACTATCATACCTCTAAATCCTAACCATCAAAAAAGGACCATACAATACACGAAAATGCAAATTGCTCGCCACAAATTTCCAGTTCATAAGAACAATTCAGAGGGAGAGCCATGCAGGTGGGTTCAAATCCACGCAAACCAAACGCACAACACACGAAATAAATCTACCATAAATTTCGACAGCATTCTCAACTCATGCACCCATCACTAATTTCAACACTATCTCCACTCACAACCCAAACTAAGCCAAACACCAAAGCTGGCATCATTTATTTAGTATAAACAACCATATCTTGTTACAAGGCCATCATTTTAATACAAAACTCTCCCTTTAACTATTTGCATCAGTCAGATATTTAGTATTCGAACTGAAAATATAAACCTATCCACTTCGATTATCACCCTCAAACAAAGAAATTCCCACAAATTATACTAAATTACAGATCACCCAATTAATGCAACCCCAACAAATTATACCATATTAAAGTTTACCCAATTAATTCAACCCCAAAACTCCCAATTACCATAACCCAAATAAGAAACACTGAATTGAAGTCGGAAAATTTTATCCTTTCACTTTTCACTGTTTGCAGAGACGGCAAACAACACATTAACACGCAGAGACACAGTAATTAAAAGTGAAAAGTAGAAAAGTACTTACAGCGGGGAAACGGGTGTCGAGCTTCTTCCTCATGGTATCGAATTAGGGATGGCGCACAGAGGAACGAAACCCCCCAAAGAAAAAAGAAGAAAAATTGGAAGCTGAGAATAGGAAATGAAGAAGCAGGAAGACAAAATCAAAGGAAGCGTGGCGATCTGAGATCCGAAGGTGGCTGTCTCAGAAACCAACGATGTATTGATTCAGCGGAATATCCGTCCGTACGAGTTTGACGAAGAAAATAAAAACAAAAACAATTGTGATGACGATCAAAGGAAACTCTAACGTCCCCAACTGTGAGAGAAGGGTGTAACGTACCAATAGATGGGCAACACGTAGCCAAAAAAAACAATTTCATAGTCCGTTGTTGTGTCTCGCAGAATTTTAGATATATCGAAATGGATTTGGATCTATAAGTGGCGAGCTAGGTCACAAATTTTAATGAAACGTGGTTATAGAAATTTTGTTGGAGAAACGGAAGAGAGTAGTTTTTTTTTTATTGGTTAATTTATTTTTATATTTTTGTAGTTTTAAACATAAATAAAAATATTATAAATATTTTATTAATATTTAAGGGGTATAATAATTTATTAAAAGTGAAAATCAAAAAGATGATTACAAAAATATATCTCTTTTATAATAAATATAAATAAGTATAGATGTTTTAAAATTTATTTCTTTCAATTTTTTAAATATGAGATAGAAGTTAAAATTAGATTAAGAAAGATTTATTTTTCTTCTAAACTTGAATCAAGAAAGAAAAATTTATAAAAATTTGTTTCCTCTCTTCTAAAGAATTAGATGGATATAAGTTTAGGAGATATTATTCCCTTGGTTTCTTTTTTTTTCTTATTGATTTTTTTATAGTAAAATTTTATTTTTCTTCCTCTTTTTCAGAGTCTTCATCTTCATTTTTGTAACCTTGCGAAAAAATTTCAACCTGTTGTTTTTGTTTTTCCCATTTTTTTACATCTAAGAGTAATTTGTGTGAGAGTTGGCATTCTCCTAATAAACTCTTTTGTATCTAGAGTTTTGTATTCCTTCCTTGGCACAAGTCAACGAAGTTTGTGTATACTCCTTTGTATGGTCCAAATAGTAGGACAAAATATGTGTAACCTTTACTTAAAGGCGAGGCTTTTGTTAGGAGTGGAACTCCTTGGTTATCTGTAATACAAAAATTGTATGGGGCACAAACGATCCCTTTTTTTATTGAACAAATGTATTGTTCATTATTGTCTAAACATCTGGGAATGTTCTAAATATTGTCAACTATACAGTTGAACTTATCATTTGTAGCTTCTCTACCAGGGTAGTGAAACTCATTTGTTAATATTGGCAACTCTTGGTTACCAAACTTCATTTTCTGCTTCACATCGGGATACAAAACCTTTGAAGGTTTCATTATTTATCATTCCTGCAAAACGAGATAAAATATCAGCAGCAATGTTTTTATTTCCTTTTATGTGCTCGAAATTTATTTTTATCCCATTATGGTAGACATATTCTTGAAATAATAGCCACCTTTTATGAGGTTTTTTGTCAGAATTAATTTGGGAATTACCATAAGCAACTATTGCCTCGCAATCAGTTCTTATTGTAATTTCACTTTTATTGATCAAAAATAGTTCAAAAGTTTTTAAACCATTTATGACAACATTTACCTCATAGTCTGTAGAAGTAGAATAGATTTGAGATTTTGTATGATACTTTCTTGAAGCATACCTACAGATTTGTTCTTCAGAAATATTATCATATTTATTCTTCTTTTTCTTTAGAATGGCTCCCCATCCTAACTCACACCCATCACATTCTATGAATAAATAGTCTGTATCCAATGGTAGTGATAAAGAAGGCAAATTTTTAACCATTTCTTTTATTTGTTTAACCAATTTTATATCTTCAGTATTAGACTTTCTTTGTCCGGATAAACTGGTTTTATTATACAAGGATGTTGTATATTTACCCAAGTTTTTTATGAAATTTCTTGCATAGTTTAAAAGTCCTAAGAATGCTCTTAGGGCTTTTATATCTTCCATTTTGTCAGGAAAAACAAGGATCTTTTGTGAAATATTTAGCTGGAGTTTAATTTTTCCATTCCCAATTTCTGTTCTAAGAAAAGATATACGAGTCTTACAAATTTCCATCTTGGATTTGGAAATTATCAGCCCATATTTTTCAAACAAATATAGAACTTGTTTTGAATGAAGGAAGTGTTCTTCTTTTGTTTTTGAAAATACTAGTACATCATCAATATATGTACAAGTAAAATATTTGTACTGTCCAAAAATATTGTCCATTTTTCTCTGAAAAATTTTTCGAGCATTTTTTAAGTCAAAAGGCATCACTTGCCATTCAAAAAGTCCTTCTGAACAGGAAAAAGCTGTCCATTTTATTGAATCAGGATGCATTCTAACTTGATGAAATCCTGACTTCAAATCGAATTTAGAAAACCATTTAGCTTTCTGAATTCTATTTATTAAAGCATCTTTAGAAGGAATAGTGTATCCGTCTATATGGGTATTGTCATTTAGACGTTTGTAGTTGTATATCATTCTAGTTTTTCCTCTTTTTTGTTCAGAGTGTTTTTTAATAATAAAAGCCGGACTCCTATGTGAGATGGTACTAGGTTCTATGACCTTTAAATCAAGGAGGGCTTTAATGTGTGTTTTACACTCTTCTTGCTCAAAACTTCCATAAGGAATATCTTTTGTTTTTATTGATCAGGATTTATTATATCTAATTTACATATAATAGAGTCTTTTTCCCAATATTTATAGGATCTTCTCCTATAATACTGGTTTTGTTAAGCCTATCAATAATTTGTTGGATATTATCAAAAGTTATAACTTTGTTAATCTTTACGCAGTTATAACAATCAATATCCATTTGTATGTATTAAAGACAACTCATAGTAATTTATTTCAAGCTCTGGGTTGAGGGCCCTTTTTATTTTTGATGAGTCAATAGTATCCAACTCGAGAGCTTTGTCGGCTTCTTCCTTAAAATAAAAGCCTTCGTATCTTTTTATTATTTTGTTATTTTTAAATTTCAAACTAACATTAATTATTATATTATCAATTATACTTTTACATATCACTTAATGTTTAATTAACTTCACATTATAATTAATATATATTTATTATAAAGCAAAAATTACAGAAGGTCTAATAAGAGACATAAAAATCATTTTATGAAAAATAAGAACATTTATTATTACTCTTCTATAAAAAAGGAACATTTATTATGTTTCTAGGTTTGTGTAAAATAAACTTAAATGACCCTCTAAAAAAATACTTAAATGCTATTATAAGGGAATAGAGACAGTAGTATTTTAGCATGTCTGGTATTAGTGTGCAAGATGATTATAATTACTAGATGATAAAGGCACTCTGTGTTTTTGTGGAAAAAAAATTGATAATTATTATTAATGGGATGAACACCTTCTCCATTTTTTTTGTATGCACATCTTTCTCTTATTTCATCTTTAATAAATATAATAATAGAAGAAAAAAATAGAATATAAAATACGGATATAGCTTTTTTTCAAAAAGTGGGCACTAAAAAATTGCATTCTTTTTATATATTGTTATAATAAAAGGTGACCTCTTAAAAATAAAATAGAGATTTTGTATGAGTGGTTAATTAAGAAGTATGAGTAGTTTATAAAGTAATTTAAGAAATAATTTACCTGAAACAAATTATGTACATGTTTAGTATCGCTTCTATTATAGTTATAGATAATTAACCGGCTTAAATTTAATTTTGATTGATTCATAGACATCGAGATTCATCAACATTTTTTGTTTAACATTAAATGACATATTATTAGTGGATCAATATTGTTTAATTTTAAAAATTAGGATAATCAAATTTGTAATAAAATTTTAGTGACTAAAATTACACACAAAATTATAGTGAGCAAAAATGGATTCAAACCTATTAGGTCAAAAGACGATTTTAAATCTCTCAAACTTTCAAGTTTTAATGATAACAAACAGAACGTTTTTCTAAAAGAAAAATATTTTTGCAAAATACAGATCAAATGAAGCATATAAGACATAAACCTTTAAACAAATGATGTGTCATCAAACGAAATATATAGTCTTACTTCATAAAGTTTTAAATACGTATCATTCATTATGAGTAATGAATATTTGGAGCATGACTATTTAGTTCCTTAATAGATTGAATAAAGAAAATTTGTTGAAACTCACAAATATGTTAAAGTGAATAAAGTCGTGTTGTGTTCAAGAAACAAGGACAGGCGAATCCCTAAAACCACAAACAAAGTCAGTAAAAGTTGATGTAGAACCTACTCTTTGTTGGCACGCACCATAGAAAGTCCATTTGGTATCTTAAAGTTGATTAGATAACAAATGACAATTTGGTTAATTGCAATTAATGTAAGCATTTAATGCTTCAATGGACATTTCTCATCTCAAGATACTCGTAACGAAGATAGATGAAGCAAGCTTGTGGGGAACCCTTAAGGTTTTTTAATGGTCATCTTCATTCAAACTACTATATAAGGAACTTCAAGATTAGAAAGAAAACGAATTCTCTTTAAAAAGAAGACGTTTGAGCAAAACTCTTGTACAAATTATTATTCATTCTTTTTATAAAGATATTGTTCTTAATTGATTATATCACATATTGTTTATAAGACAAAACAACATTTGTAAAACTTTACCTAGATATAATTGTTGTTATAGGTTGAACTTGAAGAAATTTGTCTATAAAATAATACTTATTTGAGTTTGAATAGGCTTGATTGTAAAAGAATACTTGGTGTTGAAACTTGGAGAGACTTTGTGTTGAAAGAATACTTGGGTAGATTGCTTGAGAGGCAATTCAAAGAACAATTAGGTTTGAGCTAGAAGTGGCTTGTTAAAATAATACTTGTATCTTTTTTAAAGATAGTAAAACTCAATCTGATTGAATTGAAAACTAGATATAGTCACGGTGGTTGAGATGAAACCATATAAAAATTACCATGTGTTTAGTCTGCCTCTTATCCTGTACTATTTACTATTAGCGCTATTACTTCACTATTCGAAAAAATACAAGTTTTAGATAGATACTATTCAACCTCCCTTTCTAGTGTCTGCCTTTTCTCTACAAAGCCTAACTAAAATTTATAATAGATTATATATTCAAATAAATAATATATTTAAATATATAAAATATAATATATTTAAAGATAAAAATAAATAATTTTAAACATGAAAATATATTTTTAAATA